TGCTTCCTGAAAATGAAGAGGACTTAAAATACTTACTGATGAAGATCAAAGAGCACAGCCTTCAGTATGGATTACATCTCAATGTAAGAAAACAAAACTCCTCACCACTGGACCAATAAACAACATTCTTATCAATGGAGAAAAGATTGAAGTTGTCAAGGACTTCATTCTTCTTGGATCAACTATCAACACTCATGGAAGCAGCAGTCAAGAAATCAAACGATGTATTGCATTAGGCAAATGTGCTGCACAAGACCTTTTTAAAGTCTTTGAAGATCAAAGATTTCAGCTTGAGTACTAAGGTGCAATTGACCCAAGCCATGGTATTTTCAATGACTTCATATCCATGCAAAAACTGGACATTGAATAAGGAAGATCATAGAAGAATTGATGCATTTGGGTTATGGTGTTGGGGGAGAATATTGAAAGTGCCATGGGCTGCCAGAAGAACCAATACATCTGTTTTGAAAGACGTGAAGCCAGAGTGATCCTTGGAGGCCAAGATGGCCAAACTTCGTCACTCATACTTCAGACATATTGTCAGAAGGGAGCAGTCGCTGGAGAAGGATATCATATTTGGTAAGGTGGAGGGTCAGAGAAAAAGAGGAAGTCCCCTAATGAGATGGAGTAGCCAAGTGGCAGCATCAATGGGCTCAAGTGTGGCAACAGTAGTGAGGTTGGCCCAGGATTGGGCAGTGTCTGATTCTGCTGCGCATAAGGTCGCTATGAGTCGGTACCGATTTGATGGCACCTAACAACAACAACAACAGGAGTTTGGTGGTGGTGGTGGTGTGCACTCAAGCGAGTTCCAACTCATAAGGATCCTGTATAGGGTTTCCGAGGAGCAGCTGGTGGGTTTGAACTACCAAACTCATGGTTCACAGTACAGTGCTGATCCTACAGCACCACACCAGGAGTCCAACAGGAGTTTGGTAAGCTAGAAGTCCAAATTCAGAGGAAGGCTTTTTCTCTTTGTTGACTCTATGGTCCTTGTGTCTTTTCAGCATCGGTAGGCCCAGCCGTCCTCGGAGGTCTCCATGTGTCTTGGCATTAATCATTCCCTGGATCTAGGACCTTCACAGTCCAGGGACCCAAGGTCCAAAGGATGCACACTATTCCTGGCTCTTCTTTCTTGGTGGTAGGTCCATTGGCAGTAATAGATTCACCTGTTAGAGACCCCTATATATCATCTGGGTGCATCTGTGCCTCCTCTGGACCTAGCACAGAAGTTTGCTAAATATAAAATCTCTGGTTAGCCTGCTTTGGCTCTGGCCTTGAATAATTTTTTTTTTTTTTTTTTTTTAAGTTCAGGCTTGGGCATATCTGTTCACATTTTCCAAAGAACTACCTGAGCTCATTTTAGTAAATGTCAAACAAGTCCCACTCAACCAAGTGGGTTCTAAGTGTCATACTTAATTGTAAATTTAGAAGCTCTGATCTGCCTCCAGTTATACCATAAAATGAATTCTCTCTTGTGTTGGTGAGTATTTTGAATTTATCAAAGCACACTTATTTATACACAGTCATTTCTTGGGACTTCCCCACTAGTCATGAAGTTGAAAGAAGTTATAGCTGTTGTTGTTAAGTGCTGTTGAGTCAGTACCAAACTCATAGCGACCCTGTGTAGAGTTTCTGAGGAGCAGCTGATGGGTTTGAACTGCTGACCTTGTGGTTCCCAGTCCAGTGCTGATCCTACAGCGCCATGTCGTTAGTTTTATGTATAGGTGGGAACTTAAACTCGCTCGAGGTCACACAATAATAATGATAGAGCTGGACATGGAACGCGGGCCCCTGACTCCCACTCCGTGCTCATTCTTTGGCATCCAGCTCCCTCTCTCAGTAATGTTGCCTAGTCATTTAGTCTCAAAGTTTTTCTCTGAGAGCAGCCATAGCTTTTCCTGGGAGCTCACCTCCTCTTTCTCACCTGTCCCTCCTCACCCACCCCACCCTCCTAACCTGATCCTTCCTCTTTTCCTGCTCACACTCCACACCTGCGTTCAGGAACTATGATTTCTAGCACTCTCTTTCACATACTGTTGTTGCGAAGTGCCATAGAGTTGGTTCTGACATAGCGACCCGACCCTGTGCACCACAGAATGAAACACTGCCCGGGTTCTCCTCACAAATGTATTTGAGACCTTTGATGTTGCTGTATCAATCTGGTTGGGTCTTCCTCTTTTTCATTAACCTTTCACTTTACCAATCATGATGTCCATCTCCAGGGACTGATCCCTCCTCACAACATGGCCAAAGAAACAAAAGACGCAGTCTCGCCATTCTTGCTTTTAAGGAGCATTCACATGTTGTTTGTTGTTGTTAAGTGCCCTTGAGTGGATTCTGACCCATAGCGACCCTGTATAGGGTTTCCGAGGAGCAGCTGGTGAGCTTGAAGCACAGATCTTGCAGTTCAAAAGGCTTTGCAGTCTGAAGCATTAACCTATGGCACCACACCAGGACTCCTATTAACAGACTAGTAGAGGGGATAATTAACCTAATCTGGCACTGGGAAGTCCCTTTGACCTTTGGCAAGTAACCTGCTTTCACTGGGTCTCACTTCCCACTTTGTAAAATGGGGCAATAAATCGTCTTCCTTTGTTTTTCAGGGGTGCAGTAAAGATGGACCAAAGTGATGATAGAACTTGTTAAGTGCATTGAGTGGGTTCCGACTCAGAGTGGCCTTGTGTGAGTTTCTGAGGAGCAGCTGGTGCGCTTGAACCATAGACCTTGTGTTTCACACCGGCCTTGCAGTCCAGCACATTAACCCACAGCGCCACACCCGGATTCCATGACAGAACACCCAGGACTCCGGGACAGAACTTTGGGAAGGCATTTTCACCTAGATTGTTATTGCCAGACTCCCAGGGTGATGTGCATGATGTTAATGTGCTCAGCTGCCAACCAAAGATAAGAGGTTTGAGTCAACCCAAAGTCACCTTGGAAGGAAGACCTGGTGATTTACTTCTGAAATATCAGCCACTGAGAGTCCTATGGAGCACAGCTCTGCTGTGACACATTATGAGCTGGTGTTGACTCAACAGCAACCAATTAGGACCAGCGCCGAGTCATTGTCTTCAGAGATGAGGGCTGTGGATAAGTGAACGTCAACTCTCTAGACCTCATGGATTCAACACTTTCAACAAACTGAAGTACTAGCTGTTCCCTGGCCATCCCCAAACATTTCCCTCTCGATGCATTCACTTGTACCAATTCAGCTGCCCGCAGGTCCTCTACCTAGCTAATACCCTGCACCACTCACATGAAGGATGTTTGGGAGCCCAGATGAGAGGGACTGAAGCAAGGTGGTATGGGTTCTTGCTGACCCATAGCGAGCCTGTATAGGGTTGCCGAGGAGCAGCTGGTGAGCTTGAAACACCGACCTTGAGGTTCAAACGGACTGTGCAGTCCAGCGTACCAACCCACAGTGCCACACCAGGAGTGGGTGCTCACACCTGTGTAAAGCTGGTTACTGTGACCACGTAGGACCATGAGAGGATATGAGACGGAGCACGAGGTGGAACCCATTTCCAAATCATCCTTATTGGCTATTGGGAATTGCTGGCTAATGTGTAACACGCCATTTCCCCCCATATCCAATTTTAGTGCAAGAAAAACCCACTTGATCAAGCCTCTGCATGCATCTAGCCTGAGGGCCTGAGAAGACAGCGCCTCCTAATGGCATTATCTGGATTGTGAAGTGAACCTTCCTAAGGTTCATTGCCCAGGGCTGATCCCAACTCAGGCTGAACAAGATGCACTGCAGACCTCATTACTATTTCCACCCCCTCCCAAGGAAACAGCCAGGGTGAGGGATGGGGTGAAGGGCCAGTTTGCCTTCCAGCCTTGCACTCAGAAGCTGTGACCTGGAGCAGAGTCTTCACTGTCTGAGATTCCGCTGTTTTCCTCATTTCCCAAACTGGGATGCTAACAGCTCCCTCCACCATCTCCTCCTCCCATAGGGCCACGCTGATGTAAAACTCTCACACAATCGGACATATGGTAAGCTCTTACACAAGAGCTCTGATTTGCGGATAGTAATTCCTTAAAATTCTAGTGTTTCTCAGGCAACAGGTACAGGTGAACTCTCTGCGTGGGTGGGAGCCTCTGCCAGGTCAGACACCAAGGTATACAGATAGGCAAGGTGACCCAGAGCTGTTAAGTGTGGCTCTAGTCAGGCAGCGTCTAGGTTAACTGGAACTAGAGTGTATCCCACACAGTGCCTGACACTTGCCGCACCCATCAGAAGTGCTCCCTGAAGCAGACCCCAAGCCGGCTCCACCCGTGGTCAACCAACTCCAGGAAGGAGTCCAGGTTACTGACCGGGGGCAGGGAGAGGGCACTGAGCAGGAAAGGGACCCAGGTGATTCGAGGGGCCCTCAACCGACTCACCTGGCCACCCAGCAAATGCCCCAGTGAGTAGGAAGTCACCTCCTGAGGTGACTTTGTTAAGCGGGGTGCAGGGGAAAATGAGACATGTCCTCCTGCTTCAGATACCACCCAAAAGTCTGGTGACACACAAAACCGGTCATGGAAGTTTTCAAAGGTATTTATTGAAAAACAACAAAAAGAAGCTTTGGTATTTCAAAACCCAACAATCATCAATTATTAGAAAGATAAACACCTCCCCGACGGCCCAAAAGTACAAAACCACAGATTTCCACAGGCTCATGAGAAGACAGAGACAATGGTGGGGGGAACCGAGTGTGACCCGGGCCACCCCCCCAAGTCCACACCAGCAGTGAGACTGTCCTGGAGACTGGACGGCCCCCAAATGCCAGAAGCCACTTCGACAGGAAGCTACTGGCCAGACTGCGCCTAGAGTGGACGGCAAAGCCACCCAACAAACTCTGAACAAAATAAATTAAAAATTAATTTGAGAAAGAATACATTAAGTTAGGATAAGAACAGTTTTTCCTAAAAGAGTCTTTTCAAGAAGAGGGTCAATTTCCTGGGACAGAGGAAAGGGGGAAAGTGGAAGGAGTGAGTTCAATTTCAAGTATGTTCCATTCGGGTTCATTTTATTGAGCCAAAAGCTTACAACAAGCCCACTAGCATCTCCCTCCCCACCAGACACTCTCCTTCCTTCCAACACAAACTCTTGAATACCCACAAGTGCTCCGAATAGCTGGTTTCCCCCAACAAGGCACAAAAGGGTGGTGGTTTTCATAAGCTCCCTTGTTCGTCGCAGCAGGCCTTTCCATGCTGGGTGTCTTGTGCAAAGGTGGCTGAAAGCAGGACATCATTCACTCAGACACTGGGATCTTCCTGTTCAGTGAACAAAACCAGGCATTACTGCTTGCCACCAGTCCTTGTGACGGTCACAGAAATAATCAGGGACCCAGGCTGTGGAGAACCCTGTGGGCCCCCAAGCCAGGGTCTGAGCCAGCCTGCAGACAACACTTGGCCTAGTGTGATGCTGGAGTTCCCATGGAACTCTAGTGGTTGGGACATGGTGTTGGCACAACCGGATCATGCATAAGATGAGGGACACAGGTCAGTACCCTACAAAGGCAGTCTGGCTTGTCTCCCTGACTACGTGAGGAACCAAGGGTGGATGGATGGACACCAAGAGCAAGAAGAGAGAAGACCAGCAGGGGAAGGCAACGGCTAGCTAACAGCAGAGGTGGCCAAGCCCACGCCAAGTAAATTTAGCAGCTGCTCTAGCACAGAGCAGCTAGTCAGGAGGAGGTTTCCCAGCAGGCCAGCTTGCATATCGCTTTCTGATCTATCTCAATCTATTCTTCAAGTTTGAGAAACCTAGCCCTGCCTCCAGCCTTCTGCTCCTGCAAGGCTATTACTACCTCCAAGGCCTGGCCCTAGGCCAGAAGTCCCAAAACTCCTCTGCTGATGCAGGGCACATCTCTCCTAGTTGGGCCCTGGACTGGAGAATGACTTGAGAGTACAGACCTCGAGCTCTAATGGGTCTCTATTCTCACTGCAACTGGAGGGGAGCCTCGAGGAAGAGCAGAACAAAAGAGAAAAGGCTCAGTTTTGGAAGCACTTTCTCCTCTGACTCCTTTCTGGTCTTTCCCCAGAAGACTGGCCTGCAGTCTTGACCCCAGATTAAACCCCAGGAGACAGTCCCTTCACAACTGTGCTGGAAATGATCAGTTCCTGAGGCCAGACCTGTTTCGGGACACGAGAGAGGAGGTTCTTGTCCTGTACAGAACTGGCCAGGACCTCAGAACAGCCACAGTGAGAGGCAGAGAGCTCCAAGGGGTGAGGACAAGGCCTCTGGCAGATAAGAGAGGCTTGGGGCCAGTCCAGGGCATGCTGTGATTTGTGGGGAGACTGCCTCCAACCCAGGTTCCCCTATCATTCAGCTTTCCCTTGCTCCCCATCTCCTTCTGAAAGCATTTTTTGGTGTCCACGGAAAACGTACTCCCACCTCTCTCATGCTCAAGGTAAAGGCATCCGATTAGGACACCCCACTGCCCAGGCCTCACCCCACCCTCTCCAGGCTGCCCCCCTCCTGGATACAGGACGGAAATGGGGTAGAAAGAGGCCCTGGGTGTTGGTGAGCCAATGGCTTTGTACCTTACTCCGGAAGAGGGGCTTGGCGCCGGGCCCGCAATACTCATTGTAGATGAGCTTGAAGAGGAAGAGATGGAAGAGGGTAATGAGGGAGGCCACGCTGAACCAGAAGAGGAAGGGCAGCCCGGGGTCCTGCTGGGCCATGTGCTCGTCGTGGGCCAGGATGGCCTTGAGGTGCAACGTGTGCCGCAGGTCCTGCAGGTGCGTGAGGTCGGTGGAGATGTAGAGCAGCGGCGTGATGGGTTGTGTCACCATGATGGAGAAGGTATGGCCCTGGGGTGCCGAGGTCAGCTCCACGGGCTCGTCCAGGCAGCCCGCTTCACAGGCGTAGATCTTGGCGGGCTGGCCCAGGGACTGCACGGACACATGTAGGTAGGGCTTGCCCTGGGCATCGGCCAGCACGGCCAGGTTGATGTGGTCGTTCTTGTAGCGAATGCCGTGGAGGGAGTAGCTGTTGTGTAGCACATCGGGGTCGGCCTGGAACTGGAGGTGGTTCTCTGTGAACTGCAGTCCACCGAAGCTCAGCACCATGCCCTGCATGATGCCCGGGGCACCCGCCCTCACCAGTCCCTTGCAACCACGCTTCTGCAGGGTCAGCTTCCACAGGTCGGACAGCTGAAGGATCTGCTGGACCGTGGCCAGCTGCCCAGGCCACAGGTTCTCAGCGTGCATCGTGGCGTGGCCACTGAAGCAGTGATCTTCGTAGTTGAGCGTTGCCTCCATCTGTTCCCGCTCCCTGTGGCTCAGGGCGGGGCTGAGCAGGGGGGCTGGGGAGCAGGAGAGCATGTAGTACAGAGTTAGGTTCACCGTCAGGCTGGATGGGGTGTGGGCATCGGTGATCTTCTTCATCTCTACCCCTGGAACACCCCAAGGTTGCACATTAGACAGAAGGCATGGCCAGTCCCTGGGGTCCCTCCTTAAAGAACAAAGCCATCTTGCCTGTCCTCCTTATAAGACCAGCTAGAACCCTGAAGGCTTGAACCCTAAAAAACCTTGTTAACAAGGCAGGGGAGCCCCCCGCCAGAGCCAAGAACACAGACCTAGCTAGGATTTCCCAGTCTATGAGCTTAAGGGAAGAGTTTGGTCTCCACCCCCCATCCTCTCCCTGCTCCACCCCCCTGTCCCCCCTATCAGGATACTGTACTAATCTCAGGCCACTTCTCTGTCATCTCTGCTTGGTGTCCCCAACAGGATGTCTGAGAGGCATTTTATACCTGACATTCCAACCCCAAACCACCCTTCTCCAAGTTGTCCCCTTCTTGATAAATGACACTGCCAGCCACACAACTGCTCAAGTCCCAAAAATTCAGCAGTCTGTCTCAAGTTCTCACTCCCCACAGCCAACTGATGAGAAGCCCTGGCAACTCCATCTCCCTGGTCACAACCTTGGCCCAAGCCTCCTTCCTGTCTCATCTGGGCTCCAGAAAAAGCCTCTTGGAATTGGTCCTCATGCATCCACTTTGACTTTGTACAGTCTTGGGGGGGGGGGGGGGGGTTGGTTCAAAATGTTCTTTTAAACAGTAATTCCACTTTCCTACAATACAAACTTTTTGAAGCCCCCTCATACTGTTGGTAGGTACAATGGCCAGAGAGATCTGTTTTAAAAGGTACAGAAGATACTGACCCACTCACACTCTCCCCTGCTTCCCATCCCACTCAGAACAGGATTCAAAGTCCTCACACTAAGGTCTTAACAATCTGGCTACCACCCAACACCCTCCCCTAAGTCATCCTGCTCCTGCCTGGGGGCCTCTGCCCAGGCTGGTTCCCAGATCATTACATGGCTTCCTTCTGCCCTTCAGAGAGGTCCCCAGCCAACAATGTAGCTAAAAGAAGCCCCCTCCCCATTCCAGACTCTTACCCTACTTGCCATCCCCTATCACATTCCCCTATTTTAAAACTTCTCCTTGTAACCTTTTTTATATCTAAAAAACTACCATGCCCCATGAGAACAGGCACTTCCTTCTGCACACACCGTCTCCCCAGCGCCTAGGACAGCCCTTGGAACAAGCATTCAACCGAGACTTGTTGAATCAGTTAGAACTCTTTGAGCAACCAAACCTCGGGGATTGGAGACAACTGGAACTTTGGGAACCCAAACTCCTCTCTGTCTCTCCTCTAAACAGTCGGGGAAAAGAAGTTGTCATTGATCAGGGGCATTGCAAGTGCCCCATGAAGAAGCTGTGGTCACACTAGCAGGGCACATGCAGCCCAGCGAGAGTCATGTCCTGCTGGTCTGGAAACTGAGGACAGTCTCTGGGGTCTGCCCAAATAGTTTACCCTTTACAATCCAACCTTGAACACCTCACCCTGCTCAACTTGAGCCCCACTTTCAAGAGCAATTAATAACACCTGCCGTTCACACTCACTCTTTCATGAAGACCTCAGAAAAGCTTCCCAAAGTAGGTGCTGTGGTCACCAAAGACAGACTCCGAGGGAATAGCACGTGCTACTACCTAGTCAGGGGTTGTGGTGTGGTGCTGCAGGATGCGTTGGACTGCACGGCTGGCGGTTCAAACTCACCAGCCACTCCTCGGAAACCCAGCGTGTCAGAACTGACTCCATAGCACTTAACAACTATTACAACCTTGTCAACATAGATTCGCCTCCAGGGCAAGTGTCAAGCTCCTAAACCACTTCGCTCCTCTCTTTCAGTCACCTGGTTATCTGTGGTCTACCTCCCTCCCCCAGACACTCGCTAGGTCGCACCTGGGCTGAAGAGCTGGGCCCAGAGGCGCTGGTGGTCCTGGAACAGTTCACTGGCTGGTACCTCCAAGAGCTCCAGCATTTCCTTCCGGGCCAAGTCCTGGAGTGTCTTCAGCTCCTTGGTTGCTTTACTCTTAAGCACCTGGGGATTAACGGGGCCGGAGACATGTACCACCCAAAGCACTGTCTCATCCAGTTGTGTCTTGGGAGCCACCTGGAGCCGGTTCACTAGCTTCTTGGCGGCCACCACCACTAAGTGTACCAGTCCCGACGACAAAGGGGGGGACCGGCCCGAGTAGAGGAGGAACTGATGGTCTCCGACCTTCTCCAGGGTACTGGTGAAGGCCCTGGTGGCCGGGCCGGCGGTGGGCCCCACAGTCTGTAGCGCGGCCACGCGCTCCGTGGGGTTGTTGAGTTGGATACGCTGCAGGTAGACGTGAGGTCGGCCCCGGTGCGCCACAAAGTCCTCCTGCAGCAGCACGCAGTCGCGACAGGCCCCCGTGACCGAGCCAGAAACTGGTCCCGGAACGGCAGCCGCGGGGCCGGAGCCTGGGACCCCGAGCTGCACGCACCGCACTCGGCGCAGCAGGCCTTCCCGCAAAAGCAGTACGGCCTCCCCGGCTTCGGCCAACGCGCTGAGGGGGCGCAGCTGCACTAACGGCACAAAATCCGGCGTCACAGCGGGCTCCCGGTCCCCAGGGGTCACCCAGAGCCGGTTGGCCGCAACGTCCAGGGCCAGAAAGCCGTTGGCTACCAGGGCCGGCACGCCAGGGCCCAGCGGCACAGCCTCACCGCGCTCCCGCAAGCCACGCCAGACACGGGTGGCCGCCTCCAGGCAGGCGGAGGGCTCGGCGGCACTCGGCTCGCCGTGAACCCAAGACAGCAGATGCAGACCGCCCGCCGCCCGCCGCGCCCCGGAGCCCGCGAACCACAGGAGCAGCAGTAGAAGCCCGAGCAGACAGAGGAGACGGCGGGCCCAGCTGCTCGACAGCAGCCCTGGCAATCCCTTAAGCCTCTGCTGCAGCCACATCGGGCCGCCAGGCGCGGGCGCGGCGCGGGGGCGGCC